GTAAAGATGAAATTTGGATATCTATTGCTTCTTCTGGCGAATTTTTCGTGAGGAAAGCCTCCCAGATAGCCTGGCGGCAACCAGGGTAAACTTGGACGCCAGAGGGTGAGACGCTGCTCTATAAGAAAGTGTTAGCAAATTAGGATCCGGCTCGAAATAAATTGGATTACCTAAAATCATTCTTTGAAACATGGGAAACCAAGTCTGACTAGTCCACAAAGGGACCACGACAATTCCTGTTGCTTTATCAGTCTTTATCTTACGAAGAACCTTCGAGATAATGGCGAAAGGTGGGAATGCATAAAAAAAACCAAGGAGCCCAATCTATCGTGAAAGCATCTGACGTCAATGCTTCTGGCTGAGGTCCCCATGCACAAAAAATTTCACATTTGGTATTAATCCTGGATGCAAATAAATCGATTTCAATTGAGCCAAAAATTATCTGAATTTTATCGAAAGCATAATCTGCCAGTTCCCACTCTGTGTCATGATTGAAGTCTCTTGATAGGGCATCTGCCTCGTGATTTTCTTTAGACGGGATATAAGCCGCCAAGACCCACAGATTTCTAACTTCGCACCAATCCCAAAATTCTCGTGCAAGGTTGTGTAAACTCTGAAATCTTGCCCCACCCATTTTATTAATGTATGCCATTGCAGTGGTATTATCGACCCTTAGTAGAATTTCGCAATCTGATAAATCGTTTGCAAATGACTTGAGAGCCAGCAACGCGGCTTTTAATTCCAGATGGTTAATATCTAAGTGGCATTCTTCCAGACTCCATTGACCCTAAGCCCCCTGGCCCTCACAGAATGCGCCCCATCCTGTGAGACAAGCATCCGAGAAAATTTCTTTTTTATACGAGAAACGACGAATTTTTCTTGATGAAAAAGGAATTTTCTCCAACCACTAGTGAATGTCCTATTTAATGTACCCAGGAATTACCATTATTTTATCAAAATCCATGTCATTCTTCAGTAGAGCTTTAGTTTTAGCTCTCTCCAAGGATTTACAGTGTAATGGTCCATATTCGACCCCTGGACATGTAGACACTAAAGTACCTATAAGCTGAGCAAATTCCTGAATCTTACATTCTTTCCTGCGCTCAAATGCGCGTAACAAGGAAATTGAAACATCTTTCTTAACCTGAGGTAGCTCAATGGTCATCGTCGATGAGTCAATGATAAAACCTAGATGTTTGCAGCGTCTACTGGGGTCCATCTTGGATTTTCTTGAATTAATAATGAATCCTAGGGCTTCTAAAAACTTACTTGTGGTCTCTAGATTCTGTTTACAAAGCTCAGCAGTCTCGCCTAGACATAATATGTCATCCAAGTATATGACGGATAAAAAACCTCTGGTTCTCAACCAAGAGACTACCGATTTTAAGAGTTTCGTGAATACGAAGGGGCTAGTTGCAAGACCGAAAGGTAAACAAGTAAATTAGAAAATTTTATCTTCCAAAATGAATCGCAGATATTTTCTACTACTCTCATGCACAGGTACTAAGAAGCAGGCATCTTTTAAGTCAATAGTGCCCATAAACATGTCCTCATCTAGCAATTTAGCAGCTGACCTAAGGTCTTCTAATTTGAAATGCTGAGTATTAATGAAGGAGTTTAATTGTTTCAGATTTAGAATGAATCTATTGCTACCGTCAGGTTTTGGGATTAAAAAATAATCAGAAATATACTGATGATCTACTGGCTTGCCAGGTTCAACAGCTCCAATGGAAATGAGTCTATTAACCTCTAACTGGATTTGTTCCAGCTCTTTTGGTGACCATTTACGGTCCGGAACATATCCCTGCCATGGTGTCTCCTCCACGGTTATTTTATATCCCCGTATATCATGCAAAACCGTTTTGTCAGATGTGATGGACTTCCATGTTTCAAGGAACGAGGCTAATCGCCCTGCTGGCTTATTTACCTGTGGAGTCGTGGCTGGAGGTGTTAACGACGACTGGAACTCTGTTGACGGGATGAACTTGATCTCGGGTCGTCCTTCTTCGTTGGAATCCTCGAGGTCGACAATTTCGATGGGGTCTTGGGCTTCTGGCTCGTCGGTACGGTTGGTCTCTTCGTCACCGACGAGCCCTTCCAGTTTAACTGGTTTACTTGATTGGGAATCTTTTTAGGGGCTTGAATTTTAATCTCTTGGCTCAGTTTATCCATTGATTTTAATTCTTTGATCTTTGCCCCCAATTTATCCCCAAACAGAAAGGAGTCAGTCTCCCTTTTATCGAGAGCAGAAGCAATAGGCTTTGACAGGCTTGGGAGAATGCAAGCCCTTCTAGCTACGGTTTGAGAATGGTGGATCTCTGCCACCAGCTTTGCTGCATCCCAAACTTGTCCCAGAATTACCTTTGAATCGACCTTTTTTTCCCTGACGAGAGTAGTAATCACAGGGGCTAGAGCCGAAAGAGCCGTACCTGCCACATTCTGTGTGATTGAGAAATATTTATCTCTTTTGAGTGAACCCTCATTAAGGGAGACAGTGACCTCCGGGTTAAGTGTAGGGGCTCCCAGAGGACATGATCCAGCTCTTGGGTATTTCTTAAACACTTCCTCTTTTGTTTCTTTCTTCATACTGGTATTTAACCAGGTCTTCCAACGTTTGGCAATACTGGAATGAATTTCCACCTGCTCCTCCGTTGCTGTGGACTCTTCCCCAATGATGAGAAGAGTATCATCATCAATCTCTAGAGAAGGTTCTGTTAAACTGTCCTCCAAATTATCAGAGGGCTGATTTTCCTGTGTCTGAACCGCTGGATTACGCTCCCTGACCTCTCCTTGGTCTTCAGTGGGATCCTTATCTTTTGAAGGATCGTTAGCGTCTAGAATAAAAACAAAAAATCTTATGGTGATTTTTTTGCTTTTTTCTTTTGGCTCTGTCTTACCTCTCGTGTAAGTTCAGCCATTTTGAATTTCTTTTCAAACATCGGGTTATCTCTCGTATAACCTCGTTCGTATTAAAAGAGAATTGTCTCATTTCTCGCATGAGATCTCTCATGAAAAAACCCCGAAAAAATTTAGCTTTGGTTGTCTCTCCATTAGCTGTTTTATTCGAAACATCTTGTTGTCCTGAATTCCCGTTTGTGTTCTGTGGTGAGAGAGGTTGGGACGGCGGTGATGGCAGTCGATTGACAATTAACTCTTCCAACCTTCTCACTTTTGTCCATAGTTCGTCATTTTCTTTGTCGCGACTATGGGATCGTTTCTTCTTGTGTTTTCCCATGATGATATTTAATGGGATAACACTAAAATACTTAAAATAATCTTTTTTGATATTATGACTTGATTATTGACTTGTCTCGATATTCATCAACTATTCAATTCCTTTCTGTGCGATTGAAAAAATCAATGACACCGATTTTTTTCAGTGCGAATCAAAGGTGATAGGAATTTTTTTTGCAAGCGAAAAAAACGCACAATCTTAAAATAATCATAACTCTTTCAAAAAATTTTATCTTGGACTGAAATTTGAAATGAAGACTTATCTCATAATATAGAATTGAGAAAAAAATTATGAACAAAATCGGAATTCAATTTATAGTAATAACTAGTATTAGCAAGAAAAATTATAGTCTGACAATAAAGAGTATTTTTTTGAATCAATGCAGCTATTACACGATTAATTTCCATCTTTACTCTAAAATATGCTGTAAAATACTTTCTTGGTACCATCGAATTTTTGTAATTTTTTTCAAATTTTCTAGTAGGAGCCTTCGTCAATGAAATTAGAAAATTCATGAAAAATTAACGAATCAAATGCCAAATCATCAATTATATGTCAAATTCAATGGTGAACATTTTTCGTTTGAACCATTCTCCTCTATCTCGATCAAGTTTGCCAATAAACGCATCGGAGCGCCCCAACATCCACGCAAGTGTTAATGTGCTGCCCACTGCCCTCCCATCCATGATAACTCTTTATCTATCGCAGTTAAAACAAAAAGTTATACGATAAAAAATGTGTATTTTCACGTAACAAACACCTTTTGTTTGAAATTTTTTTCTCTATCTGCAACCGTTTCCATGATATGATCGATTTAACTATAAAAATGTTATAAATAAATAGACCTGACCACAACTTGTCAAAACCGACGTCGGATTCGGATTCAGTACTTCCGTTAACGTAAACTCCATTTCCTAGCGCATACAGAAATAGGGTTAGCGTAGGGCGTACTATTTCTATTTCCAGTCTAAAAAATCGCTTGAAACAACTTTTTGGTAGCATAAAATTTTTGTGAATTTTTTTAAATGGGGCTTTCGTTAAACTACTTCAAAAATTGATAAAAAATTAAAGAATTGATAAAAAAAAATCTGAAAAAGAATCAGGGTGGATTTTTCATCGAGTAGAATCATGAAAAAAAAATGAAATGAATCTGAGATGGTCAGGGTTTCAACCGGTCGAATTGACATGGAATGCCCCATATATTGATCTCAAGCAACCGGGCTAGCGCGCGTGAAGAGCGCGTCCTGCCTAGTTGGAAAAAAAATCAAATTCAGAAATTTCCATCCGGATAACGCGCAAACGGTTGAGCTGATTTTGCTCAGTATTTAATCAAAATCGAATGATTCGAATCTAATCCAATGATTCTAGAGGTCATGAAACGTCGACAAATCATAGAAATTTCAGTTTTGATTTGCGGGTTAATTACACTTACGTTCTCCCTTAAGATTGGGGAGTTGATAGCATGTAGATGCATTGATCGTATAAAAAAAATCAAATCACATACACATACACACACAGCGCCCACGCATCCTCTCAGCAAGGAGCGCCTCTACTTCCTGAGAGCTTTAGCAGGTTGGAAGGTACTGCAACGTGGCGCGTCCCCAGGTGGTGGATCGAGGGACGCTCGCTGTTCCGAACTACGGAACAGAGGGGATCGACCAAATAAAATACGTCGGCGCGAACCAACACCTTCTTAGAGAAGCCCAACTCTATTAAAAAAAAGAGGTGGGCAGGGAGGGTTCCCTATGACAACCCGCAAGTAATAATGAACAGTGATGAGAACACGATATTATCCCATGCGGGTAGCCTTCAGAAGGGAAATCCCTCCATCGGTTCCGATCGGGTGAAAGCCTCGGCGGCTGGTGCTGTCTCCATGGAATGTGGCCAACCATCACATGTCTCAAAGGGGGACTCCTTGGCCTCAAATGCTACAAGGAGAGATGAGTCACAGACTCGACATGTGACAGAATGTCGTTACGCATGAGCACGACTCGAGAAACTCATCACAGAGTTACATGAGTTTGTCCAGCCTAAGAGAAATAAATGTCCACAAGGAAATCAAATCCAAGGTGGCATCGATCGGCAATGCGCACAGATGACTCAAGAGCTTGGAGGAGGCATGCAACGGGCCCCAAGCCCCCAATGCTGAGCCAGTGCAGGCTCTATTACCACCACACACGTCGCGTTCACGTACGGACTCTGAAACGGCGGTCAAAGACTCGAAGGTAGAGGACTCGAGTACCACCCAGTTAACTCGAGATCTTGGGACGAGAGAGGTTCGGAAACAAGTGCGGAGGAAACGCTCGAAGGGATCACCTGCAGCAAAAGCGCAAAAACTGAAGAAGCTGAAGCAACAGGTCCTGCCCAGCAAAACCGCCCCACAGGGGAAGGGAGTGGTTGATGGGTCAGACTGGAAGCTCATCGAGTCTAAGAGAGCGAAGAAGAAACGAGATGAGAAGCTGCTCCAAAAGCCACCTTCCGAGAAGAAAGAGCCCAAGAAGCAGAAGCAGAAGAAGACTCGTTGGAAACCAGCGCCCAGACCTGATGCCCTGATTGTCCGACCCAAGAAGAAGGAGCAACATTCTGACATTCTCCGCCGAATAAAGAAGGATGCACCTGCAGAGAAAGCTCAAGATTGCGTCGATGAAATTCGCCGGACAGCGACCGGGGATATGTTGATCATCTTGACCCGGAAGACGGTCGATGGAGCTCCTCAGCTTCGTAGAACCATCGCCAGTCTCCTTGGAGATAAAGTGGCGGTACTCAGTAAGGGGCCGGAGGAAGAACTGGAGATAAAAGATCTCGATGAGACCACATCGAAGGAGGATGTTCTGGAGGCCCTACAGAAAGTAGCCGGGGAGGAGATCAAAATAGCTCCTGAGGCCATCAAGTCTCTGCGTACGGCATATGGAGGAATCCAGACTGCCTTAGGGACCCTCGCAGCAGCTACAGCGAAGAAGATCCTGGGAGAGCATGGTAAGATCAAGATAGGCTGGGTCAATTGCCGTATCAGGAGAGTGGGGAGACCGATAAAGTGCTTCAAGTACTGGCACTACGGACATCTCGCCACGAAATGCACGAGTACAGTCGACTGGTCCAAGGTCTGCGTGAAGTGTGCAGGGGATGGTCACAAAGCCAAAGACGGCAAGGGGAACCCACGGTGTGCCCTGTGCTCTGAGAATGGCGATTGAGGGAATTTTGCCCATGTTGCTGGTAGCAATAGATGCCCAGCATACAGAGAGGCGCTCCAGAAGCTCACCAATAAAAGGCGATAGTAGACGAAAAAACTGCAAGGTGCTGCAGCTCAACCTCAACCACTGCGACGATGTACACGATCTGCTCATGCAAACGGTGCGCGAGCTAAAGTTTAACATTGTCATGATCTCGGAGCCATATCGACAACTTGGCATTCAATTCTGGGTTACTGAAGCAAGCAAGAAGGCTGTAATCTGGACTTGTGGAAATCGTCCTTTCCAGAGTAACACCAGTAGTAATATACAGAATGGTTTTGTGAAGGCGATGGTTGATGGAATTCACTTCTACATCTGTTACGCCCCGCCAAGCCTTACCATTGATAAGTTCACAGACTTCCTAGATAGACTGACTGAGGATACGAAGCAGCATTTTCCCGTGGCAATAGCCGGGGACTTCAACGCCTGGGCCGTCGACTGGGGAAGTAAGGAGATGAACTCCAGAGGGCAAGCTGTACTGGAAGCGATGTCATCGTTGGACGTGGTCCTGTTGAACAGCGGCAATAAACCGACCTTCATTAGTGAGCAGCACTCTTGCCAAGAGAAACTGCTCATGGAGAGTAATTGATATTTACACTGCGAGTGACCACCGGGCCATATTCTAGGAGACCTGTACTGATCAGAGAATCGGATTAAGGCCGAAAAGGACCAACTGCGTTGGCTGGAGAGTAAGCACCTTCGATCCTAGCGCTTATTCAGTTGCGTTAGACGCTCGTCCGACCAGTGGCAACAACGCTACTGAGAAAGCACACAGCATTATGGAAAGAGTGGTCAAAGCCTGTAATGCCATCATGACGAGGAAACGGACCACAAATCGGCATCCACCACTGTATTGGTGAAATGACACGATCGCTGTACTACGGAAGGAGGGTAACGCGGCCAGGAGATTAGCTCAACGTAGCCGTAAGAAGGCAAACTTTGAGGAGCGCCAGAAGAGAAATAAGACGGCACGCCGGAAGCTCAGCAAGGCTATCAAGTGCAGTAAAAGGCAATCTTGGAGTGAGCTTCTTGACGAGGTAGAAGGTGATCCTTGGGGAAGACCATATGAGGTGGTGACACGACTCAAGAGTCAACCAACGCCATCGCCTACATATCATGTGTTGCTAAAGAAAATCGTCACGGTATTGTTTCCGCAACAACCGGAACTCTAGCATCCTGACGAACAAGAAGAAGAGATCATGTTACCACCAATCACCAGAGAAAAGTTGATGGAAGCGTGCGATAGGGTGGGCAACACCAAGGCCCCTGGGCTGGATCGGATCCGCAACATCGCCGTGAAGTCAGCTGTCCGCGCGAGGCCGCAGATGTTCTTAGACGTCTACAACGAGCGCTTAAGGGAGGGCACCTTCTCGTCCATATGGAAGCAGCAGAGGCTAGTATTGCTCCCGAAAGGGAACAAACCACCGGATGACCCATCATCATACCGTCCTCTCTGCATGCTCGATACCGCTGGTAAGAGCCTCGAGCGTATCGTCCATCAAAGGATGGAAGCAGCAGTCGAACCCCTGTTGGTCGACAACCAATATGGGTTTTGGAAAGGCCGACCTACCCTAGACGCTATCAACCTGGTCATTAGCACTACCAGGGAAGCAATTTCAGGGTAAACATGGCTGAATGGCACGAAGAAATACTGCTTAGTAGTGACGCTAAATATTAAGAATGCTTTCAACTCGGCCAAATGGGACCGTATCATCGAAGCTTTAATGAAGTTGAACATACCGGGATACTTGCGGAGAATAGTCGGCAGCTATTTTACTGGGAGGGTCCTTAAATACGACACGGAGCGTGGTTCCAAGGAGTACAGAGTAACCGGGAGCTTACCTCAACAAAGATCAGTATTGGGTCCTTTGTTGTGGAACATCATATATGACGGGTTGCTGAGGCTGGAATTGCCACGGGAAACTCAACTCGTGGCATTTGCTGATGACGTGGCTGTAGTCATCGTCGGCAAACACTTAGAGGAGATAAACTTCAGTTTCGACACGGCCTTCGAGAAGATCCGTCACTGGATAGACGCAGTGGGTTTGAAACTAGCGGAGCCCAAGACGGAGGTAGTGCTAATCACCAGCAGGAAAAAACCGAGAGCATAACGCTGCAGGTCGGGCCTTGTGAAATTACTTCTCAGCCGTTCATTCGATACCTGGGAGTGATGATCGATGCCCGACTCAATTTCAAGCAGCAAACCGACCACCTGGGAGTCAAGGCGTCTGGAGTCAGATCCACCTTATCGCGCCTCATGCCTAACATCGGGGGTCCAAAACAAAGAAGAAGAGCCCTGATGTCGTCGGTGGTTACGTCAGTGCTCACCTACGGCATTTCCATATGGGCTGATACATTGAAACTGCAGGAATCATGGCGGAAAGTGGCACCAGTCTATAGACTGAGTGCCTTACGAGTCCCGAGCGCTTATCGTATGGTGTCCGAAGACGCGGTGTGCGTTGTAGCCGGGATGCTCCGTATAGAAATGTTGGCCGAAGAATGAAGGTCATTGTATCAGCGGAGGGAATCTGAGATACTGAGCGCAATAGAGCTCGGCGCAGAAGAGAGACGAAAGAGTCTACAGTAATGGCAGGAGAAGTGGGACAACTCGTCGAAGGGAAGATGGACTCATGGCTGATCCCACAGGTGAGTGCTTGGTTAAACCGCACACATGATGAGGTTAATCATTACCTGACGCAAATGTTTTCGGGACATGGGTGTTCCGGGCGTATCTTCATAAATTCAAACATGAGGATTCCCCCAAGTGTCCAGTCTGCACCGAAGTCGACGAAGACGCGGACCATGTGTTTTTCAGATGCCCCCGCTTCAGCGAGATGCGGCGTGTTTGGGGATCTGACCTTGGAAGGGAGATCTTGCCTGAAACCATGGTGGAAGCGATGCTGTCATCGCAGGCAGCCTGAGACGCAACGACCAACTTCGTGGCAGTAGTCATAAAGGAGCTAAGAATTGAGAAGCGCCAGCGGAAGGCCCCAGCATGCGTGAAAAATCTTTTGGAACCTCCTACCCACACTTACCATCCTAGACGGGTAGGACGATATACTCTAGATGCAAACAATGTGGAAGTGCAAACAGCTGAGGGTAGTCGGACAGTTTTTCCCCGGACAAAATCCCCCGGACAAAATTTCCCGGGCAAAATCTCCCAGAAAGAAAAATTCCCCGCACAAAATCTCCCCGAAGAAAAATTTCCCCTTGAAAAAATCCCCTTGGAAAAAAAATTTCCCCGGACAATTGCTTTTTGCGAAAGTTCCTCAAAAAAATTCTTTTCACCGAGTCTTCTGAGAGGTAAATTTTCCGCAAATAACAATCCGTATGAATTTAATCCCCAAGGTATCACTCTACTTTTAGTACTGTATGAGTGGGTTAATCCCTGTTCGTGTGTTGCATTTCAAGCGATTTGTGTACGACTATAATTGTCGATGGTGATAAAATTCGGCTCATTTTATTCCCATCGTTCATAATTCGGTAGTCGGGATTGAGCTCCCAGGACAAGCAGTTGAATACATACAAGTATGTTCTACTGTATTTCAAAGTGTTGGAAATAATTATTCTGGCCGTTGTTAGTGCTTTTTTTTCGTGTATTTCCTGGAGTGCTCAAATTTACAAAATTAAACAAAGGAGGCAAGATTCTAGTGAATGAAGAAGGATATATGTATTACCTTCATGATAAAAATTCGAAGAGAGTGATTTGGAGATGTGTCGAGTATAAGAAAGGTTGCAGAGGGGGACTTATTTTGGCCGGATCCGATTTCCTAATCGCAAATTCCTTTCTTAGGAAGATTTTGTCCGGGGAAACTTTTTCGGGGAGATTTTGCCCGGGGAGATTTTGTCCGGGAAAAAACTGTCCTAGAATCCAGCTGAAACCTCCCTCGCGTAGTAATACGTAATGGTGATGCCGCGAGGTATTTAAAGGTTAGTGAATTTGTCTGCACGAAGTTTAGTGGGTATTAGTCCTTATGACTCGAGCCTCATATACAAATTTCGATTTCCTCCCTCAAGTGGGGATGCATAAATGCATTCTATAAACAGACGTTAAAAAAAAACACAACGCCGAGCCGAGGCTTGTCCTTTTCAGGGCAGCTTCGTGGAGAAGCCCAACTTCTACTGCGGCGCGTCCCCAGGTGGCGGATAAGGGAAGTCCTAACTGGGTCAACTTGCTGACTCAGCAGACTGGAGTGAAACCAAATAGCTCTCGCAGACCAAAAGAGGCGTGTAGGGTAGGCTCCCTATAGCAGCCTACTAAAAAGGGTGGGCTCCCTTCAACAGCCCAGAAAAAAAATGATGAGTGATGAGAAAATACAAAGTTCCCATGCGGGTATCCCTGAGAAGGTAAATCCCGCCATCAGTTCCGATCGAATGAAAGCCTCGGTGGTTGATGCCAGCTCCATGGATTGTGGGAGGAGCCAATCATCACATTCGTTAAAAGTGAACTCCTTGGTCTCGGATGCTACAAGAAGGAATGAGGTGCAGACTCAACAGGAGACAGAATGTCGTCATGCATGGGCACGACTTGAAAAACTCATTGCAGACCTTCAATGAGTATGTCCTACCCAGGATAAATTTCCACAAGGAGATCAAATCCAAGGTGGCATTTATCGGCAGTGGCATTTATCGGCAGTGGCATTTATCGGCTCAAGAGCTTGGAGGAGGCACACACCAAAGATCAGTTCTTTATTACAGAGTCTGTGCAGACTTCCCTAGTACCAACCACGTCGCGTGTACGGACTGACTCCGAAACAACGATGAAGGACTCGGAAGTAGAGCCATCGCCAATCTCCTCGGAGAGGAGGCCGAGGTGCTCAGCAGGGGACCACAAGAACAGCTTGAGATCAAAGACTTCGATGAGATGACGTCGAAGGAAGACGTCCTTGAAGCTCTCAAAAGACTAGCTGGAGAGGAGCATGAAATAGATCCTAAGGCTATGCAATCAATGCGAAAGGCATATGGTAGAACCCAGACTGCCTCAGTGACACTCGCAGCAACTGCGGTGAAAAAGATCCTGGGGGAGCACGGCAAAATCAAGATAGGCTGGATCAATTACCGTACCAGGAGAGTGGAGAGACCGATAAAGTGTTTCAAGTGCTGGCACGACGGACATGTCGCCACGAAGTGGTACCGGCTACTTCGACCGATAGAAGCTCTGCCTCAAGTGCTCAGCAACCGACCACAAGGCCTCAAGCTGCAATAAGAAGCCCCAATGTGCCCTGTGCACCGAGAAAGGGAATACGGAGAATTGAGATCATATTGCTGGTAGCAGTAGATGCCCAGTGTTTAAGGAAGCACTCCAGAAGGTCCTCAACAAACGACGATGAAGGTTCTCCAAATAAATCTCAACCACTGTGAGGCCGCGCACGACCTACTGATGCCGACGACGCGAGAAATGAACCCAGACTTTGCCATAATATCAGAGCCATATCGTCACCTGGGTACTCAACCCTGAGCTACTGATGCCAGCAAGGGGGCTGTAATCTGGTCTTGTGGAAATCGGCCATTTCAGACCACTATCACAAATAACTTTCACAGTGGCTTTGTAAAGACCAAAGTTGATGGAATTTATTTCTATAGCTGTTACGCCCCCCCGAGCCTCTCCATCGCTGAGTTTACAGACTTCCTGGACGCACTGACTGAGGATGCGAAGCAGCCCTTTCCCATGGCAATAGCCGGGGACTTCAATGCTTGGGCAGTGGAGTGGGGAAATAGGGAAACAAAGCCCAAGGGACAAGCTGTACTGAAAGCCATGTCGTTGCTGGACGTGGTCTTGCTGAATACCGACAATGAGCCTACCTACATGAAAGGAGAAGTGAGCTCAATTGTGGATCTCACCTTCGTGAGCAGCAGCAAAGGGAAACTGCTCATGAAGAGTAACAGATACCTACGCTGCAAGCGACCACCGTGCGATATATTAGGAAATGCGTACTGACGGGAGAATCGGTCCAAAGCCCAAGAAGACCAATTGTATTGGCTGGAAAGTGAGCACCTTTGATTCTAGCGCTTATTCAATAGCCCTAAATGACCGCCCCGTAAGTGGTAGCAATGCCACCGAAAAGGGGCGCAGTCTCATGAGGAGGGTAACCGAAGCTTGCGATGCCACCATGACCAGGAAGCGGATAACAAACCTGCATCCATCGGTATACTGGTGGAATGATACCATCGCCACTCTGCGGAAGGAGTACAATGCAGCAAGGAGATTATCTCAGCGGGCCCGCAAGAGAACAAACTGGGAAGAGCTAGATCTGAGGTATAAGAGGGCACGCCGGAAGCTCACTAAAGCCATCAAACGCAGCAAGAAGCAATCCTGGAGCGAGCCCCTTACGGAGGTGGGGAGAGATCCGTGTGGAAGACCCTACAAGGTGGTGATGACACGACTCAATAGTCAACCAATGTCGTCGCCAACGTGTCCTGTACTCCTTAAAGAGATTGTGAAGGTGCTGTTCCCGCAACAACCGGAATTTCGACATACAGCCGAACGAAGGAAGGAATTGGCGTTCCCAGTAATCACCCGAGAACAACTGATGAAAGCCTGCCAGAGAGTGGGGAATACCAAGGTTCCCCAGTGTCAGATCTTGGATTTTGCGCCAAAATCGAATTTTTTAGCCGGGTGAACGTTGATTCCAACTATATAAGTGCCGGGCTAGTCAGAACTGTCAAAAGTATGTGGAAAAAGTGAAAACTGAGAAACCGTTTTTTTTGGCCCCAGCCAAAGAGTCAGATTTTCGGGTTTTCCGGGGCAAGTGGATTTTCGCCAGATCCCCAACGTCGTACTGAAATCAGCCATTCACGCGATGCCTGAGCAGTTTTTGGATATATACAACGAGTGCTTAAGAGAAGGAATCTTCCCTGCCATGTGGAAGCAGCAGAGGCTAGTGTTACTCCCAAAGGGGAAAAAACCACCGAACAAACCCTCATCATACCGTGCTCTCTGCATGCTCGATACTGCTGGCAAGATTTTAGAGCGTATCGTTCACCAGAGAATAGAAGCAGCAGTCGAACTGTTGTTAGCCGACAATCAATAAGGTTTTCGGAAAGGTCGATCCACGTTACATGCTATCAACCTTGTCATCGACACCGCCAGGGATGCGATTTCGGGGAACAGTTGGCGAAATGGCACAAAGAAGTACTGCTTGGTAGCGGCATTGGACATAAAGAACGCCTACAACTCAGCCAGATGAAACTGTATTATGAAGGCTCTTGCAAAATTGGACGTACCAGGATACTTACAGAGAATGATCGACAGTTATTTCCCTGGGAGGGTCCTCAAGTACGACACGGAGTGTGGTCCTGAACAGTATAGAGTGACCGGAGGGGTGCCTCAAGGCTCAGTACTGGGTCCGTCACTATGGAACATCATGTATGACGGACTGCTAAAGCTCCGTCTGATTTCCTACTCGGAAATCAGCGGTGGGACCTCATGCGCTGATTGTACGGCCTAAGGACAAAGAGAAATACTCGGATATTCTACGCCAGATGAAGAAGGATGTTCCCTCCGAGGACGCTAGCGGTTGTATCGATAAGATCCGCCGAACAGCAACCGGGGATATGCTGATCATCCTTAGCAGAAATACCACTGACGCAGCACCTAAGCTGCGTATAACCATCATCAATCTCCTCGGAGAGGAGGCTGAGGTGCTCAGTAAGGGGCCACAAGAAGATCTCCAGATCAAAGATCTCGACGAAACCACATCGAAGGAGGATGTCATCGAAGCCCTACGAGCAGCAGCTGGGGAGGAGCACGAGATCCAAGCAGATGCGGTCAAGTCCCTTCGTGAAGCTGATGGAGGTACCCAGACTGCCTCAGTGAGACTCACAGCTACGACAGCGAAGAAGATCCTGGGGGAGCTCGAGAAGATTAAAATAGGCTGGGTCAACTGCCGAGTGAAAAGAGTGGAGAGACCATTAAAGTGCTTCAAGTGCTGGCACTATGGCCATTTCGCCACCACATGCAAGGGTGAAGTCAAATGCGCTGAGCTCGGCCACACTGTAGCTGCCTGCAAAAAGAAACCCAATTGTGCCTCGTGCACTAAGGAAGGGAATACGGCGAACTGCGCTCATTTTGCTGGCAGCACCAGGTGCCCAGTTCATCAGGAGGCGCTACAGAAGTTGACCAACAGACGATGATGAAAGTGCTACAGCTCAACCTCAACCATTGTGGGCCGCACACGACCTGCTCATGCAAACGGTGGGGGAGCTGAAGCCTAATCTGGTCATGATCTCGGAGCCATACCGACATCTGGGTACTCAATCCTGGATTACTGACGCCAGCAAGAAGGCTGCAATCTGGGCTTGTAGAAATCAGCCATTCCAGAGCAACACCAGTGAGGGTATACAAGATGGCTTTGTGAAGGCTAGGGTTGGCAGAATTTACTTCTATAGCGGCTATGCCACACCGAGTCTCACCATGAACAAATTCACCGACTTCCTGGACGAACTGACCGAGGATGCGAAGCGGCACTTTCCCACAGCAATAGCTCGGGACTTCAACGCCTGGGTAGTCGACTGGGGAAGTAGGGAGACGAATCCCAGAGGGCAAGCCGTACTAGGAGCCATGGCAGCGTTGGACGTAGTTCTACTGAACAGTGGCGACGAACCAACTTTCATGAGCGGAGATACGACCTTGATTGTGGACCTTACTTTCGTGAGCAGCACTCTTGCAAAGGAGAACGGCTCATGGAGAGTAACTGACATTCAGACTGCAAGTGGCTACTGCGCGATTCTTTGGCAGGCTTATACTGGCCAGAGAAGTGCCCTAACACACAAAGAGACCAACTGCATTGGCTGGAGGGTGAGCACTTTTGATCCTAGCTCCTATTCAGCAGCATCGGATGATCGCCCGATCAGTGGCAGCAATGCCACTGAAAAGGCACAAAACTTCATGAGAAGGCTGACGGAAGCTTGCGATGCAACCATGACCAGGAAGCGGACCACAAACCGGCATCCACCGGTGTATTGGTGGAATGGAACCATCGCCACCCTGCGAAAGGAGTGTAATGCAGCTAGGAGACGGTTTCAGCGCGGCCGCAAGAAGCCAAATTTCAAGGAGTTGCAGACGAGATGGAAGAAAGTACGCCGAAACCTCATCAAAGCCATCAAGTGCAGTAAAAAGCAATCTTAGAGGAAACTCCTTGCTGAGGTGGAAAGCGATACGTGTGGTAGACCATACAAGGTGGTGATGTCAAGACTGAATAGTCAACCAATGCCGTCACCAACGTGTCCTGTGCTGTTGAAAAAAATCGCCACGGTGTTGTTCCCACAACAGCTAGCACTTTATCGCATAGGCGAACAATGGAAAGAGATGATGGCCCCACGAATCGCCAAGGAACAACTGCTGGAAGCCTGCAATAGAGTGGGTAACACCAAGACCCCTGGTCTTGATGGAATTCCCAATATTGTACTGAAGTCAGCTATCTACGTAATACCTGAGCTTTTCATGAACGTATACAACGAGTGCCTAAGGCAGGGCACAATCCCGACCGCGTGGAAGCAGCAGAGATTGGTGCTACTCCCGAAGGGGAAAAAATCACCCGACGACCCCTCATCATACCGTCCACTCTGCATGCTCGATACCGCTTGCAAGATTCTCAAGCGTATCGTCCATCAACGGATAGAAAGAGCAGTCGAACCGCTGTTGGCGGACAACCAATACGGGTTCCGGAAAAGCCGATCCACTCTGGACGCTCAATCCACAATGGCACGAAGAAGTATTGCTTAGTAGCGACACTAGACATCAAGAATGCTTTCAACTCGGCCAGGTGGGACCGTATCATGGAGGCTGTTGGGAATTTCTATGTACCGATTTCAATAGCTATTTCAATGGAAGAGTCCTCAAGTACGACACGGAGGGTGGTCCTGAGGAGTACAGAATAACCGGAGGGGTACCCCAAGGCTCAGTATTGGGTCCCCTGTTGTGGAATATCATGTATGATGGGCTGCTGAAACTGAGATTGCTGCGGGAAACTAAACGCGTAGCATTTGCAGATGACGTGGCTGTAGTTATTTTGGGCAAATACTTGGTGGAAGTCAACTACACCTTCGACATGACCTTCGAAACGATCCGCTATTAGATGGACATAGTGGGCCTGGAACTGGCGGAACACAAGACAGAGGCTGTGCTGATCACCAGCAGAAAGGAAATTGAGACAATATCGCTGCAGGTCGGGTCCTATGAAATTACTTCCCAGCCGTACATACAATACAAGAGTTGATGATCGATGCTCGACTCAATTTTAAGCAGCAAACCGAGCACGTGAGTGCCAAGGCGTCTGCAGTCAGGCGTACTGTATCGCGCCTCATGCCTAATATCGGCGGTCCTAAACAAAGAAGACGAGCGCTGCTATCACCGGTGGTGACGTCAGTGCTCACCTATGGCATTTCCATCTGGGCTGATGCACTGCAGTTGAAGGAATCGCGGTGAAAGGTAGCATCAGTCTATCGACTGAGTGCTCTGCGAGTAGCGAGCGCATACCCCACGGTGTCCGAGGACGCAGTGTGCGTCATTGCCAGAATATTACCTGTTGAGGTATTGGCCGGAGAGCGAAGGTCTCTGTACCGACACAAGAAGTCGGAAATGCAAAGCGCGGCAGAACTCAGCGCAGACGAGAAGCGTAAGAGCTTACAACGATGGCAACGAGAGTGGGATGCCTCTACCAAGGGGAGATGTACTCATCACCTGATCCTACAGGTGGCCGTCTGGTTAAGTCGAAAATATGGAGAGATCAATTATTACCGCGGGTATTTGCGGGCGTACCTTCATAAATACAAATATGAAGATTCCCCGTAGTTTCCAGTTTGCGCAGGAGTGGACAAAGACGCAGAGCATATATTCTTTACATGCCCCCGCTTCAATGAGATCCGAAGTACGTGGGAGTCCGACCTAGGAAGAGAGGTCAAGCCTGAGAGCCTGGTGGAAGCAATGCTGTCATCAAAGGCAGTCTGGGATGCAACGAGTAAATTTGCGGCTGAAGTCATGAAGGAGCTCAGAAATGAGGAACGCAAGCGCAAGGTTGTCGTATAGGTGAGAAATATTTTTGGAACCTCCTAATCACGCACATCTTAGCGGGATGGGGGGACGTACATTAGATGAAAAAACTTAGAATAGCAAACAGCTGAGACTTCCTTCGTGAAGTAATACTTTACGGTGGTGCCGCGAGGGGATGAAAAGTTAGGAGAATGACGTCTGACTGGAGTTTAATCGGTATTGACAGTTTTGTCCGAGTCCGACACTAATTTGACGGAGGGATCCTGCTGTCCCCTCCCTCAAGTTGTCGGGCGTAAATGCATTCTCCCAACAGACAAAAAAAAACACACCCACACTGCCAAGCTGAAGCTTGTCCTTTTCAGGGCACCTTGGTGGAGAAGCCCAACTTCTACGGCGGCGCGTCCCCAGGTGGCGAATAGGGGAAATCCTAACTGGGTCAGCTTGCTGACTCAGCAGACTGGAGTGAAATAAAATACCTCCCGCGGACCAAAAGAGGCGTGCAAGGTGGGCTCCCTATAACAGCCTACAACAAAGGGTGAGCTCCCTTCAACAGCCCAGAGAAAAAATGATAAGTGATGAGAAAATACAAAGTTCCCATGCGGGTATCCCTGAGAAAGAAAATCCCGCCATCAGTTCCGATTGAGTGAAAGCCTCGGTGGCTGATGCCGGCTCCATGGATTGTGGGAGCAACCAATCATCACAATCTAGTTCAAAGATGGACTCCTTGGCCTCAGATGTTACAAGGAGGGGAGGGTCACAGACCCAACATGAGAAAGAATGCTTTCTCATGTTGGGTCTGTGACCCGACAATCACAATCGAATGAGTCCCGTTGTTCAGACGACTCGGGTCGCTAATTTTTGGCCTGCAGGACTGCGTCCAGCCCAAACAGAACATCCAGAGGGAGAGGGAGAGGGAAATCCAAAGTGACTTCCATCTGCAATGCCTTCAGACGACTAGAAGACCTCCAAAAGACGCGTGCTGAAGTCCAACGTTCAGCCGTTGAGCAGACACAGGTGACTGAAACACCACCACTGTTGCACTCACGTATGGACTCGGAAACCACGGTAAAAGACTCGGACGTGGAGGACTCGGACATTGGCAAGAATCGAGAAATCCGCAAAAGTCTACGGAGAAAGCGGTCAAAAAGCTCACCGGAGACTGAAGGAAATGAGCAGAAGAAATCCAGGCAGCAGCTACCGAATAAGCAGGCAAAGAATCCGATTAAACCATCAGCAAACTCGGAATAGACCTTGGTGGAGGGCAAAAAGAGGAAAAAGTGGCAGTCAGAGAAGCCGCCTTCAGAGCCGCCATTTGAAAGGGGAAGAAAAAAGAAGAAAAAGTAGAAGAATAGCCCATGGAAACCAGCACCAAGACCTGACGCGTTGATCGTACGGCCGAAGGACAAGGCGAAGTTTTCGGATATCCTACGCCGGGTTAAGAAGGACGTTTCTGCGGATCATGCAGAAACGCAATCTTCTAAGAGAATTAGAATTTAGAGAGAAAAAATTTCCGCTTCACCCAGCCGGGAATCGAACCCGGGTCTCCCAGATACGCGCCGGGCACTCTTACCGACTAAGCTACCGGGAACCACAGAAATTCACTCTCAAATTCACTTCAAACACCGCCTAACCTCCTTTAGGCATTAAAGAATTCTAAGAGAATTAGAATGAAAAGAATGCGAATGCGAGAATCAATGAATTAGAATGATGCGGATCATGTTTGGTTGCGTCGATAAGATTCGCCGAATGGCAACTGCAGACATGCTGATCATACTGAGCAGGGCGACGACCGATGGAGCTTTCCATTTGCGCACAGCCATCGCCGATCTTCTAGGAGACGAGGCTGAAATACGCAGCAAGGGGCCAAAAGAAAATCTCGAAATTAAAGATCTTGACGAGACCACATCGAAGGAGGATGTCATTGAAGCCCTGCGAAAAGTAGCTAAGGAGGAGCATGAGATCGAATTGGATGCTGTTAAATCCATCCCTAAGGCATATGAAGGAACCCAGACGGCCTCAGTGAGACTTGCAGCCACGGCAGCAAAGAAAAACCTAGGAGAACATGGGAAGATCGAAATAGGCTTGGTTAACTGCTGAGTTAGGAGAGGCCAATGAAGTGTTTCAAGGGTTGCACGTCTTTTCA